AGCACTCCCTCTCTGCGGCTCGCCTTCGTTTTGGGGCTCCCTGAGGCTCTCGCTGTCCTTCAAGGCCCTCTCAGGGTCCTCCCTCCACAGGATCCCTGCTCACATTTGGGGTTTGCCGAGATTCCCATTCCCTTGGGGTCCTTCTGGGATCCTCTCAGAAGCTTCCACTCTCTTTTGGAACCCTCTCTTCCTCCCTGAGGCCCCTTTTCCCCTTTAGGCTTCCCCACGACCCTCCATCCCCTCTGGAGCTCTCCATCCCTGAGGCCCCCACTCCTTTTTGGGGCTCCCTTTGAGGACCCTCCATCCCCAGGCCCCCCAGTCCTTCCCATCCCCTCCCACCATGGAGATCAAGTACGAGTACACGCGGAAGCGCAGCGAGTTCGGGCGGCCCTGCAGCTTCTCGGACTTCCTGGCCGAGGTGACCGTGGACATCCCACCCGACCCCAGCCTGGCTGAAGACTTCATCCCCCAGGACCCCGTGGACTTTGCGGTGCAGGAGGGCCCTGTCATGGCCTTGCACGAGGTATGGAGGACACAGAGAAGGTGGAGGGGACATCCCAGGATGTCAGGCACGTGGAGGGCAGCCGGCCTGAGGGGACAAGGTGTGTCAGGCACCTGTTGAGCCCTGCGTGTCCCCATGCCCAGGTGAACACGGAGCGGGTGCAGGTGGCCATCAAGGGTGTGAACCATGTGGAGGGGGGGTGGCCCAAGCACATTGACCCCAAGAATTCGGAGCTGACCACGCGCTACCGGGAGGAGGTGGAGAGGGAAGAGGTCTACACCAGGAGTGTCCAGCGCCTCAGCTCCGTAAGACCCTGCCCTGATCCCTCCCGGGCCCCCTGAGCCCCCCAGAGCCCCCCATGGACACGGCCATGCTGTCCCTGCAGCTGATGGAGCACTACATCAGACAGAACAACAGCATTGACATCTACGAGGAATATTTTGAGGAGGAAGAGGAGGAGGAAGATGAGGAGCAAGAGCAGCCCTCAGCCAAAACCATAAATGTCCTCAGGTAGCACAGCTGGGGGGGCTCACCAGAGGTCAAACCACCCTGACAGAAAGTGGGAAAACTTTAGGAGTTAAATCCCAGTGAGTCTGGGATGGTTCTGGTGCTGTTTGTGGGTGGAGAGACCTGCTGAGCCCTCCCTGCTCCATCACTCCATCCCTGCCCCTCGCCCTGCCCAGCTGATTTGGGGTTGGGAACCAGGGTCAGACTCAGGTCTGAGCATCTCCTGATGGCACTTCTGGATTTTCCTTCTTATTTTTGGTGCCTCAAAGGTTAATTTCCACATCAGGAGTGTTTAGGAGTCAGATATCCAGTAAGATGATAGGATTTTTAGAAAGGTATAACTGGAAAGACGATGAAATCATCAACTCTTCTCCCCCCGCGAGGAGAATCATTTCCTGCACTCAAGGCTTGAGGGCTGCAGATTGGTTTCCTTGTGATTCCCACAATTCCCTCAGGGAGATGTTCATCCCAGAGGTTTGCCAACTGGCCTGTCCTGGCTGATGTGTCTCCCCAAAGGGACCCCAACATGCCCAGGAGGATGGCCACGCACCTCTCCTGGCACCCCGACGCCAACAGGGCAGTGGCCGTGGCTTATTGCACCCTGGACTTCCAGGACAGCAGGAAGGACATGAACTTTGATTCCTACATCTGGGATCTGGGTAAGGGCAATCCCACCAGGAGCTCAGGGAAGCACTTTGTGTCTCAGAGAGCAGGATGAGGCCTTGCAGCACC